ACTCGCTCGAATAACTTTCCGACTTCGTCCAGCAAGCAAATCGGTCTATACGCCGACGGCTGATCGGCGGGTTTCCCTGGTTTTGGGAGGAGGACCAGTTTGGCTCGCTTCCACGCCCTGGGAAACCGGCCTTGTCTGAGACATTTGCTGTACACTTTGCGCAAATGCTCGGCCAGTTCCCCTGAGGCCAAGGTCCAAGCTTTTCCCGGCACCCCGTCCGGCCCTGGAGCCTTGCCCGCCTTCAACTTGCGGGCGGCTTTCCTCATTTCATCCATGGTTACCCCGGATTCATCCTCATCCCATCCTTCCACGATTGGTGGAGTAGGACCTCCGTGAGCCCTCTCCCCGGGATCGTCCGGGAAGAGGGTACTCACCACTTGCTCTAAGAATCCGGGGTCCATGGACTCCGTCGCTGGAGGCGCTCATGTCCGCAATTTGTTCAACACCATGCGGTAGGGACGCCCCCACGGATCCTCGTCCAGGGCCTTCAGTAGTTCCTGCCAGGACTTGTCCTTGGCCTGCTTGATGGCCCAGGAGTAGAGCCGTTTGGCGGAACGGTACTCCACTCCCGTCTCGTCCATCCGTCGCTGGTCTTGGCTGCGTCTGGCCCTTAGCCAGCGGCGTCTAGCCCGGACGGAGGAGCGCCGTAACTCGGCGATCTCCTCCGTCCACCAGTAGGCCGCCTTTCTCACCATTGGCTTTATTCGGGGCATGGCGGCGTCACACGCAGCCGCCATTAAATCCCCGATCCAGCCAGCGGCCTCGTCTACCTCCTCTGAGGAAGATACCGGGTCTTCCGCCCAGAGCGACACACTCATGGCCGCCCTGATCAAGTCCGTATTTATCTTCTTCAACGCCCACCTGGGAAAACGTGATTCCGCCACCCTACGACGAGCCTGGACCTCCGGTGGGATGACCGAGAGAGACATTTCTATAAATAGGTGATCGGAGAGCGACTCCGTCTCCTCGGCCACCCTCCATCCCTCTATCCTGCGGGCGACAGGGGGACTGGCCCACGTGAGGTCAATTATCGATCCCCCCTGCCGCCTCACACAAGTCTGTACCTGTCCGGAGTTGACAATGACCAGGTCCAGGCCCGCCGCCCATGTCTCCAGGATCCTGCCACGTCTGTCGGTGACCGGGGAGCCCCACAACGCTGATTTTGCGTTGAAATCCCCGGCCACGACCATCTGACGTTGGGCAAGTGGGATTCTGAAGATGCAGGCCCTCAGGTCCGCCAATACCT